TGCGTGCAGGCTGAGCTCGAAGCCACGAGGATAAGAGGTGTGTGTTCGTCTCTTTCTCTCTCTTCGCATGATTTTCAATATATATGTATGTAATTATGGATGTATGCGTATATACATTTTTCATACGTATACATGTATATGTTTTATTTTGTTTAACGTGTACACATATACATATATACATATCGTCTATGATATTTATGGTTCTCGCATCGGTGCGGAAATACCTTTATCCTGGTCATTCCCCGCACAATATGCATGCACCCCGTAGGGGAGGACTCTATATTCTATGTATATGTTAATCAGCCAGAACAAAAACAAAACTATTTTCAACGGCAAATAACACATAGACTACATAAAGCACAATTACAGTATATTTCACAAATTGTTTAAACATTCATATATAATTATACGAATCTTCGCATTATGACGGAAAGGCGATTTGATCAAATTTAGGGGAAGATTACTTTGTAAAAACAATGTATTTTTTGTTTGTTTGTTTAAAGGACAGGAAAACATTAGGAGATTGAAAGGGCTTGCAAAAATGGCTTTATCTGGCGGATCGCCGTGCCAGTATGGATTTCTGGCTTAGAAATTGCGAGGCCTATCCTCTCATTGCTGCGAGAGGTTCTTTCCTAGTTCTTCCGTATTTTTTTTTTTATGTTTCACACGTTTTTTAGCGTCTCTCTTATCTTTTACCTTTTTTTTTATTTTATTTTTTTTTTGTTTACTCTTCTTAAATGATTCGTCTGCATTTCCCGCCACGATCGATGCATAATTTCGGAATGTTGACAATATTCTAATTCTTGTTTTACCTTATCAAGGTGCAATAAATAAATGATATCTCTTTTACACTGAGATATACATGGTTGGCTAACTGTTAGTCGGTATCGCGAGCAGGTGAAGGAGGGTGCACTTACTGCACCTGCCGATAGTCAAGCAGTAAGACAACCACTTGTATAGTTTTGCTTTGCATTTCATCGTTTCGTTTTTTGTTTTTTTTTTCGTATCGACGTATACCACTGAAAACTTAAAAAAATAGAAACAAACTTTTGTAACTAGAAACAGTAAGTCATTGCACCGTCAGTTACCACTCACTGCATCATATTTTGTTTTCGTTTTTTTTTTTTTTTATGTCAACTGATGGGCCGATGTGACATTTTGTAATGTAGTGGACAGAGCAACATTCTCTCATTCTATTGATCACATTTTTATCATCGTATTTATATAATGTAATGTACAATATGCAGCTACATTATGATAATCAGTATGTCCAACGCATTCAAACTGACAACACCGTGGGTACTTCACGTATGGTATATTTTTTTTTTTTTGGTTGTTCGTAAAATTTTCTTCAAAGATATTCAAATTATTAATTAATCAAATTGTGTATTGTATGTTTCAGAGTTAGGTACTTTAATACAATTACTTCCAAGTTTCCCACTTTTCTCGTGGTATCTCTGTGTAAAAAGTGTAACTATAATGCTAATGTAATAATAATTATAATAATAAGTTGCACAAGGCAATAGTCCTGTGTGGCCGTTCGAATGTGTGCTTCCGGCCGGATTTCCCCACTCCCCTCCCCCCGGCAAAAACTTCCTGGCACAATGACAACTTTCGATAATCTTTTCACCCTCCACTCAAGATACAAGACGATCTTGCAGTTTGCACTTAGTATTACCTCTTTTTTTATATTATTACTCATTCATGGGGGGGACAGGTGTGCAGCTGATTTTTTTATGATGTTAATATAGCAACTGAATGTTGACAGAATAACGGTCCAATTAGCGATTGGCATTTTTGAGCTGATTAGAGAGCCAATCAAGACCCTCGTAAAGTCCGTCTCCACTTGTGGCACACGTTGCTTGAATGTACCAGTTACGATTACGTAGTGAGTGCAGGCCCAACTTGTCAGTAATCTCTGCCGCATTCATCGCATTTGGGAGATCCTGAAATATTATTCATTGATTAGCTTATCTACGTACAACGATTTTGCCATTACGCCTATGTTGGCACACATCCATTTTTCAAATATAGCATACGTTGTTTACACAACAAACATTAACATACTTTAAATTTTTTAACAGTTTATAGATGGCTATATTAGAACTATGTATGTACACAACTGAATGTATTAATATTATCAAGACTATACATACTTGTTTGTTAGCGAATATAAGAAGCACTGCATCTCTAAGTTCATCTTCTGCTAACATTCTCATCAATTCTTCGCGCGCTTCACCAATACGTTCCCTATCATTACTGTCAACGACAAATATCAGTCCCTGTAAGTAGGTTTAATCCATGAATAAAAGGTCCATTATATTTCATACGCATCTCAAGTCAACTATGAAATAAACATATACAGTTTGACTACAGGAATTTACAACGAAACGGAAAGCAAGGAACTACATAAATTTAATTTCAGTTTAAACATAATATGACCAGTGCAAAAAATAATAATTGAGTGAATAAATCCGTAGTACATACTTGTGTGTTCTGGAAGTAATGTCGCCAGAGAGGTCTGATTTTGTCTTGACCACCCACGTCCCATACAGTAAAACTTATATTCTTGTACTCAACTGTTTCTACATTGAAACCTAAAATTCATAATTGCGCGTAAGTAATTTGTATTAGGTCTTCTCCATTTGGCATGAAAATATCTGGAATTTAATCCCGAAACCTGCCCACAGTAGAATCGATTAACGTTACTAGTTCCTCTTAGTTGTATCCGATTCCATTGAGGATATGCTTCGCGATTAAATATCATATGTTTATGAATGAGGTTGAAAGAATAAAAAAAGGCAAAGTTACCTATAGTGGGAATCGTAGTAACAATTTCCCCTAATTTTAATTTGTACAGAATTGTGGTTTTACCCGCTGCATCAAGACCCACCATCAAAATCCTCATTTCTTTTTTGCCAAAGAGGCCTTTGAATAACGTTGTGAACATATTCCCCATGATTGGTGCTGGTTATGTAAATACCTATAACAAGAAACAATAAACAAAAATTGAATTAATAATGTATTTGTTACTGTCTATCGAGCTTAACAAACTGTAAGAGGATATTTTAATTCAAATCCATCTTACACGATGTAAGAACACGTCAATGTGTCACTTATATATTTCATGAGTCACAATATTATCGGTTCGTTGTTCAATTCTTTAAGTTATGTTAAAACGACAGACTTTTTTAAACAATGATAAGTAATTTCGAACCTTTTACCAATCTAACCGAAAACGAGCACAAATATTTATGAAAAGAACGAGATACAGATAAGTTAGTATATGGGGCAAGAGCATCATCTGTAGGGACACAAAGATAATAAAAAGTATATACCGTCGCGAAATTATAACTAACAAATCGTTCGAACGCGGCATTTAAAATTAGTACAGAAAGAAATTAACTGTGCCCGACATATGCGAACCTACGATGCACGACCAATCGACGTGCAACAATACTCAGGCCTTTAAACTCTGTCGACGAAAGAGACGAGATATTTTCAATAAGGCAAACGGAAAAAGTAAAAAGAACCGATGGGACAACGGGGAAACAACGAGCAAAATACGATTTTCACAGAAAAGACAGAATTCACGTACACGAAATATTGAAATTTTTTAGACAGAACGAACGAAGCAGACACATGCGTAATGTACTGATACGCCGCTGACACAAAGACTAAAAAGCTAACCTGCACATTTACGAAGAGCGCGCGATCGAAAAAGGAAAGAAAGGGAAAGAACATCGCGAACAACCTGAGATGTAGTTTTTAAATTGACGAACGAAAGAGAAGGAAAGAAAAAAAAAGGGGAACGTGTAGAGACACGCACGAGATGCTCACGCTGCCCGCTATTGATTCTCATTTTAATACATCGCTATGATTATCGGACTAGCATACCGTCAGGGATCACTCTAGAGTTTTTCGCCGGTGGTTTATGCACTTTTAAAACGTGATCGGCTAGCTAAAACGCCAATACCGAGGTATTGCAAGCAAGGCGGAAGATATTGTGCGGTTTGCGAAGCCACTGCGTACACCCGGTTGTCTGTCACCTTCGACCTACTCCCCAGCGAATCGTCAAAGGTTCCCCGCTCAAACTTCCATTATTTAGAAATGTCGTCTGATTATCGAGAGCTTCTCGTAATGTCAGGCCGCCCGTACAAGCCACTTGCGTTACTTACGTTTCAGTAAAAAAGATTATTTTCACGAGAAACGACAAAACATAAAACCAACACTCTCGAAAAGTACCGTATGTCAAAATGGCGGACGTGGAAAGGATTCATGCCTTATGCCACGTATAGGGCCCTCGAAATTCTCAGATTGGTTACATCGGTCACGTGACGGTGAGAATTTACAATGATTTCCGTTTGGTTCGCCAGGTGGCGATGCCGATGCCGCGACTCGTGTAAGTCATCAAAAATTCTATGAGTGTGTAGGTGAGTAAGTGAGCCGTGTACTCGTGGAATGGCCCACGCTCATGAAAGCGAAAAGATACTCTTCTTTTTTCCCCTCTTAATTGCGAATTCCGATAATGACGTTACAGGGCAACGAAGCACTTGGTCAATGACCAGAAGATGCATTAAGGTAAAAACTCTGAAGTTTTCTTTTATGTTGTATGATTTTAAATTCGGTCTGAATAAAGCACTATGCTGTATATACAAAGTTTGAAGCGTGATTGAAGTATATAACGTTGATTATACCGTTGACGTGCCGACATGAAAGTCAACGAAATACCAAAATGCCGGTAGTATGAATTTTAGAACCTCAATCTTCTTATAAGATGTTGTTTTATGTTTTATTAAGAACTTATGTCTATTCTTAACCCTTAACTGGTACAATGGGGTCATGAGTGACCTATATTTCTACTTCACTTTCTAATAAAAGTTTAATTTTCCATATTTTTATTAGTACTCACATGTTTCTATATAGAATTAAATTAACATGCTCTTGTGAAAATCATTATATCAATTAAGGATGAATATATGGTTAGTTAAATGATAATCGAATTTAATATAAGTTTATTTTTATTGTTTTGCGTGTAGACATGGATAAACATAACCATAATAGTAAAAATGTATTTTAATGTTGTATAGTTACTTTTTATTTATACACCTGGTTTATGAAATTTTTCATCTAATGTTCCTTCTCCTAAAAGTTCACACTCTTCCACATTATATGGAAAGTCAGTTATTATCTCTAATATTTCAGTGGTCTGTCCAGGTTTTCTATATTTAGTAACATAGTTATGTATTATAAGCAATATTAATTTAATTTAACAACATTATCCATCGAGTTACTTTGGTTCGAAGAAAATTGTAAGGGTAAAGTATCTGCTACCACTGCGGTTGCTTAAAAATTTTCCTTGTTCTTTATCAACAGCGAAGTTAGCATTCTTATGTTTACCTTTCACTTTAAAATGAAAAGCAGCCTCTATATTATATTTAAATAAAGAAATATGTTATCGTTGGAAAGAATTCATATAATAACTCATTGACTATAACTGTACTTGATAAATTTTCTAGAATCAATGTTAATTTTTTGGTTTCACTTATATAGACAGTACCAAAATCTAACATGTATGTTGATAATTTTAATGAAGGTATCGATATTTGTAAACATAATTCCACTTCCTGCAATTGTATAATTAAAATCATATGTATAAACTTATATTAATTGATTTAGTTTGTATTTGTTTGAAAATCATAAAAGAAAAATTCAATTTTCAAACCTGATTGGTGTTATCCGGGTATAGAATGTGCAATGGTTCCTTTAATGTTATTACTGAATTACGAAACTCTTGCACTTTGTCTGTGTGCAATATAGTATTAATTAATTCTTCATCCACATTGCAAGCAATTTCTACCTACAAAGACAGTATCATTTAAATCTTTAATAAACTTTAAAACAAACAATTTTAGTACCTGTGCACATCCATGTCCACTTATACTAACACCAGACAATGGTGTGGGTGGATTTGTAACAGAGTATACAGAAGTAGATTTGATATGAAATGGGTAATATGTTTCCATAACAACATTTGTTAGAGCATCCTGATTATTGTAGAAGAAGTATGTTTTGGTTATTCTGAAGTTAAATATGATAACATTAATGTATAATCACAGAATGTGTTTTTATATATATTTAAATTTTAAGCTAATTTGTACTCCAATTGTTTTGATCTTGATTGTATCACGTTATTGATGCAACACGTAAATGTTCTATCGGTCTTGGAAATATCGAAAATCAACCGTGGTTTAAAAGCAGTTGTAGCAACATCAAATTCTACAGGAGACAAGTATGGTCCATCCGATCTGTAATACTGATTATCTTGATATCTGAAAATTGATAATACGTTCAATATTCAAAATGCATAGAAAGTACTAAATGTATACAAACTTATCGATTGGAGCTATTCGTATCAAACCCAAAACCTTGCAGACAAATTCTCCTTCAAAATGACCATGCGACACACATTTATCTGGATAAATATTGATATCGATTGTATCATTGTGTTTTGGTATCATGAACATTTCTCTAGGTTCAACCTTAAGAAACATTACACAATAAATATTTTATATTTAAACAAATTGCAGCACAAATATTTTATCATCTCACAGTGCAAACATTATCATTAACTTCACCATAATAAGGCAATACTGAAATCCTAAATTCAACGTCTTCTTCGTAGTCTGCATCACTTCGCTCTGTATCTGACGTCGCGTTATCTTGACTACACAAGTATTTCAGAATTCTTTTGACTGCATTCATATGCAACTGTTCAACCTTTTCTGGAGTTTTATCACGCATTGTCTTAGTTGAGACAATCGAGGACTCTCTTCTAAGCAGGGATTATGTTTAAAATTATGAGTTGAAATAAAAACATTATACATTACAGAGTTTAGCCGTAATACTCACAGTTGATCACAGATGTCTTTTTCTTTATCAGAGATGTCTGAATTGTCTTTTAACAATCCTACAAGAGTGTCATTCATTATAGTAGGCTTGTAGAGTATACCATGAGTGCTTGGAACAACCGCATTTTTATCAATGGTCACACGTCTTTTCATAAATACTTCCCTGTGTCTCAACAATTTGCAGATTTTCAATTCCTTCGATAAATCATCAGTAAAAGGGGTGCAAATATCGTAAACGACATTGATAGGGGGGATCTTTTCAGTCGTAACCGGCTTTATCAAAAACACGTGCCAGTCGATTACTAAAGGTACACTGCTTGTATTACTTATCAACACTCTCCTGGTGTGTAGACGGCTCCCGACTGGCTCTAATCCGTAACTGTAAACAATAAGGCTCCATAGAAACAGGAATTGTTCAAAATCTGTTCTCAGAAGCCAGGACTTTAAATTCGTTTGTTTACTAATCCTAAACGCTTCACTACAATTACGGATTAATTTCGCATCGATTCTAAATAAAAAAAGAAACTACGTACAGCTATTCTTGAAAATAAAGTGAGATCAACGTAGAACTGAAGTACTCAAATTGGATCAACTTAGGGCTGAGAAGCTATAATCGAATCAACATACGGAGACACTCGAATTGGATCAACTCTCGGTGTAGAGACATCGATTGTAACAAGTACAAACAAAGAGCCAGAGAACGGACTTTCGAGTCCAAGAAAGGGAAATCTGTAAAACAAGGGTTCAAGATGGAAGACTGTAGGCTAGAAGATCCTAGAATCCAGAAATTTGGGAAATGTGATATCAGCTGCTTCGATTCTTGGATTCCTACTGCTTTGATCTTCGGATATCACTAAGTCTAGGTCTCCCACTGTTTTTATTTTTGGGTTCCTGGATCTAGGATTCTTTCTGCTTTGATCTTTGGATCCCTGGGTCCAGGATTTCTGTTGCAATAACCCTGAATCTCTAGGATCAGGATTCCTTCTGTTTTGATCTTTAAATCTTACGACTCCTCCTGCTTTGGTCTTTGAATATCTGTGTCCAGAACTCTTCCAAATCGAACCACTGAGTTCGTGATTTCTGAGTCTTGGCTCATTTTGATTTATCAACCAATTGGAGCGTCTCGGCATTGTGCTACGAAATCAGTATTTATCTTACTTGAGAACGGGTACCGCGGTTCGAGTGCTTCGCGTGATTGACAATGATATCGGCGGTTCCACAACTTCAATGTAGATCGCTAGTGTGTATCGGGGCAAACCGGTAATACTAATTTCTAATTCGTCGACGTATATGCCCCATGTGTCAGCTAAGACGTATATATCTACAGGAACGGCTACGAACGGATCAAGATCGGAACTTAAAGGATCTAAATAAATTACAACACCTGAATCCGGTTGCTTCACTCGGTTTAACATTTCCCCTAAAGATGAAACAAAATAACAGATGTCATTCATTAAGATCTTGATGCTTTCCCAAACTCTAAAGCCATCCCATATAACTAACAAGAATTATTATAATTAATAATGATATTATTATAACAATAGTATTAATAATGATATTATAATAATAATATTAATAATGATATAATAATAATAATATTAATAATAATATTAATAATATTATTATAATTAATAATTGGTTTACCGATTGTGTTCCTAGTTTGCCCAAATGCTTGCTTGAACATGAAATTTACACGATTTTCTATTATCTGCTCCTCGCAACTACACTGAACGGGGTGAAAATTCTTCACGGAGACCGAAAAATCCGTCGGAATTGCAGTTTCATTTTTGATTATGAACGTCTTCTTTTGCACTAAAAATGATTTTCACATGAAATCTGTCACAGTGTTTCAGTGTGCGACTATTCACATACCCCTTTTAAGCGGTAAATTCAGAAATTCGATTACTACTGGTTGCGTCGGCGATGGCAAGATTGTTTCACTAAATGGTACCATGTCATAGCACGCCGTGATATCCTCTCCGTAACTCCCTTCTCCCGTCGAAAAATTATCCATCTATAATTATTTAATCGGACAATATTTTCTGGAGACTGACACAGAAAAATGTTACGGGACACGTTCTTTCTTATATTAAAATTAATTATTACGAGAATGACCCACAATGCTTTATTTTTATTTATATGCCTTTAAAAAAAACTTCGATAAATTTAAGGAAATTATCATGATAAAAAGCTAAAAATCTTTGATTCTTATGGGATATTCTTTCACTGTTTCATGAGAGAACTAAATAGCATAATTGCAACTTCAAAAATAAGATGGATGGATATTTTTGTTTATTAAACAATAACGAATTTTTGTATATGTTTTTGCAAAACATAAAAGGCTATAAAATTAATATAGCTTTCACTTAAATCAGTAAAAACCTATATTGATTTTTAAGGGATATTTTCACCCTTAACAAAATGTTGTATGATACTTCCATAACGTTTTCAAAAATTTCTATTTGCCTTCAATAAATTTTGAAACTTCTTTAGAGATTGAAATTTTCCTGTTATCGACGTTTCATTCTAAAATCGTTTACTTTAACGGTTTCTGAAGTACGCGTGCTCGGAAAATATTCCACCTCCAGTCCCGCCGCGTCCAGGTCAGTCGCCGAAGTATTCGCAGAAACATCTTTAAGAAAGTCTCCTTGATCCAGATTCATGTTCGTTAATTTCCGCTCCGCTCGGATCTTGTACTTGTCCAAGAGATTCTGCAAAATTGCTCGTTAACGATACGCTTTACGTACGACGTGCACCATTTACATATTTCCTTTCGACCCACCATGGCTCCTTTGGACTTCTCCTCCATACAAGAAGCCATGTATAAATTTTCCACGCGCCATTCGACTCGTGTGAAATTTGTTTTCCACTTGAAAACGTCCGAATCATTTTGGGGGAGATAAAATGTGACGCATAGCGGTTCGATGGCGCACTCGATCGTCAACATTATAATTTTTTGCGTGCCGTCGACGAAACAGGGTACACGTAAAAATTGTACGATTCCCTAAAAAATTCGAACGCGCGCGTTGCTAGATCATTATATTAATTACTTGATCTTTTTGAAGCGGAAGAAATTAAAGAATATTGCTACACCGTCTAGATTATGCGATTCTATATGATTCAAAGTTTGGATTTACAAATGAAAATAATAAAATAATAATAATTAAGAATAATAATAATTATTATTTATGAAAATAATTCGTATGCAGTTCATTTCATTTGTTTCAATCACATATTCGTTCAATCGTTTAAACGTAAATGAATGATGAATTCTTGATCAGTCATTGTACGATTAAGATTCAACGAAGAAGTAAAATATTGCACCTCTTGCACTGGTACCACAGTTATTTTCACTTCTTCCGTGTCCTTAGCGGCCACTGTGCCATTTTGCGGGCATACGCAAAGTTTCAACTTGTCCACGTCAAGACCTTCCGCATCACCCCATGAAAACGTCATAGATTTATCGGAGAGATTCTTCACGGACAATAGATACGTTTGCTCGACGCCGATGTAGAGAGCCCTGTCGAACTTATTTTTATGAATAGTATACGCAGACTAATTATAGCGGATCCAAAACAAACGTCCACACACTTCGATTACAGGCGAGCTTTGCTTTTCGCATGTTTACAAACATGAAATGAAGATTTTCGTAGCTGCGAAAATATTCTTCTTCTAATTAACAGAAGTATGTCGAATGAATTAATTTAATGTTATTTATAATAATATTATATTATATTGTAGTATTAACAATAATATATTAATATATAATATATGTATATTATATTAATATATTTATTAATATAATTTTAATATACTTTTTATTATAATATATTTATATATAATATATATAACTATATAATATTAATAATATTGTTTAAAATATTATCATCGAAGTATGTACACGTTTTGTGAACCCGTATACTAAAGTCTTTGAAGTATCATAAACCTCGTCGGCCTGATTATCCCAACGCTGATTATGCGCTTCCATAGGTAGGGTTCAAACTGTTTTAAATCGAACATATCGTAATGAGAAAACATTTCTTCCATCGTCTGCAACAATTAGAACAAAGTTAGGATGTTGCGGTTGGAAGTGGAGATCGTCGATCTACTCACTAATTTACACGGGCATAGATCACAGGTAATCCCTTCGGCTATTTCTTCGATATCATCTCCGTCGCATCGACAATATTCATAGCTCGAAGTGGACACTGTAACACTGCTACTCGTTTCGCCAGATTTAGCAACACTTTAAGGAAATCAGGAGTGTAAACAATGATCTCGTAAATATACAGGGTGTCCAAAAAATGTCACACAATCCGAAAGAGGCGGGTTCCTCGGGTTATTTGAAGCAACTTTTTCCTTTACAAAAGTTTTCTCCGAGGCACCGTTAACGAGTTATTAACGAAAAACAGTGACCAATGAGAAGCGAGCTCGGCTGGCGCGAGGCGACCGAGTCAATGAGCGGAACTGGGTTTCGTGCGCTGGTTGGCCGGGCCGCCTCGCGTCAGCCGTACTCGATTCTTATTGGTCACTGTTTTTCGTTAATAACTCGTTAACGGTGCCTCGGAGAAAATTTTTGTAAAGGAAGAAGTTGCTTCAAATGATCCGAGGAACCCGTCATTTCCGGGACACCCTGTATAATCATCGTTTCATATTGTTCAAAGAACAATATAGAAACCAACGTTTTTATTTCGTCGACGGTGGAATATTGCAGCCGGACTTCTACGGCAGCGACCCAAACATCTACGGACTGACGATATCGTTGACGATAATAGCTTGATAAATATTTAGCAAATATAGCGAACAAATCAATGGAGAATTTACGCTGGTAGCTTTGCGTCGTCTGTTAGTGCAGGTCTCGACGTGCAGCTGCAGTTCCGGCGAGATGGCTGCCAGCGGTATGTCCTCAACGATTAGCCTAAATACGATTGAAAACAACGACAATGCTGATCAAATTAGCAAGGAACATTATCAGAACTGAGCGCGTTAATGCGGTCGAGACAACAGAGGTTCGACAGCGAAAATAGCAGGGGTTGAAAACAGTTATGATATGGTACAAGAAGATGGCGGATTTTTGGGCATAATAAAAATTGTCTTCATCGAGTCCAAGAAGTATAATACTTTCTTCCTCCAATTACTTTAATGGATTGAAATAATGACATTTTTAAATTCTCCAACTACTTTAAATTGCAACTATCCAACTTTGCCATAAATGCATCTAATTCACAGTGTAATTACAAGTAGGCCCCGTACTTTATGCATTTGTGACAATAATGAGTCGATTGAACTTGATACAATTATTAAAAGACGAAGGACATTTTTATCTAACTCGTGTTTCTCATAACTTATTTGGGCAATTTTTATTTTGCGCGAAAATCCACAGTTTATAAGTTACAAAATTTTGTCGATTTTTCATAATTATTTCAGTCAGAATCAACGTGTGTAACAGCTTGAAACGATCATTTTCGCGACATTTTCAATCCCTGGTAAACAGCGTTCGTTTACAGAAGTTCTCGAAGACTTACTTCAGAACAGCGGAATAAAGTTTCGGCGGTAAGCCTTTGCATTCGACGGTGACATTGAAGTGATGCGCAGAGATAGGCGATAAAATCCCGCGTTCCGGGTCGACGCGAAGACGGTTCAGAGAAAGATGTTCGTAGTTCTTGCCATCCGTCTCGTTGTCGCGCGTCATTCGTTTCGTCCATCGGAAATACATGCTTATTTCGCTGAGGAATTGATCACGTGGGATTCGTTTAGCGTTCGAACGTCGAGAGTCTATGTGGCGTCCCGATCGTCGATATTCATTCCGAAGCGAACGAACGTCGAGGATCCCGGAATTAGAGACGTTTGGAACAGGCGTTACCTAACGTTGCTCACGCAAACCGTGCATTGNCAGGAGTGTAAACAATGATCTCGTAAATATACAGGGTGTCCAAAAAATGTCACACAATCCGAAAGAGGCGGGTTCCTCGGGTTATTTGAAGCAACTTTTTCCTTTACAAAAGTTTTCTCCGAGGCACCGTTAACGAGTTATTAACGAAAAACAGTGACCAATGAGAAGCGAGCTCGGCTGGCGCGAGGCGACCGAGTCAATGAGCGGAACTGGGTTTCGTGCGCTGGTTGGCCGGGCCGCCTCGCGTCAGCCGTACTCGATTCTTATTGGTCACTGTTTTTCGTTAATAACTCGTTAACGGTGCCTCGGAGAAAATTTTTGTAAAGGAAGAAGTTGCTTCAAATGATCCGAGGAACCCGTCATTTCCGGGACACCCTGTATAATCATCGTTTCATATTGTTCAAAGAACAATATAGAAACCAACGTTTTTATTTCGTCGACGGTGGAATATTGCAGCCGGACTTCTACGGCAGCGACCCAAACATCTACGGACTGACGATATCGTTGACGATAATAGCTTGATAAATATTTAGCAAATATAGCGAACAAATCAATGGAGAATTTACGCTGGTAGCTTTGCGTCGTCTGTTAGTGCAGGTCTCGACGTGCAGCTGCAGTTCCGGCGAGATGGCTGCCAGCGGTATGTCCTCAACGATTAGCCTAAATACGATTGAAAACAACGACAATGCTGATCAAATTAGCAAGGAACATTATCAGAACTGAGCGCGTTAATGCGGTCGAGACAACAGAGGTTCGACAGCGAAAATAGCAGGGGTTGAAAACAGTTATGATATGGTACAAGAAGATGGCGGATTTTTGGGCATAATAAAAATTGTCTTCATCGAGTCCAAGAAGTATAATACTTTCTTCCTCCAATTACTTTAATGGATTGAAATAATGACATTTTTAAATTCTCCAACTACTTTAAATTGCAACTATCCAACTTTGCCATAAATGCATCTAATTCACAGTGTAATTACAAGTAGGCCCCGTACTTTATGCATTTGTGACAATAATGAGTCGATTGAACTTGATACAATTATTAAAAGACGAAGGACATTTTTATCTAACTCGTGTTTCTCATAACTTATTTGGGCAATTTTTATTTTGCGCGAAAATCCACAGTTTATAAGTTACAAAATTTTGTCGATTTTTCATAATTATTTCAGTCAGAATCAACGTGTGTAACAGCTTGAAACGATCATTTTCGCGACATTTTCAATCCCTGGTAAACAGCGTTCGTTTACAGAAGTTCTCGAAGACTTACTTCAGAACAGCGGAATAAAGTTTCGGCGGTAAGCCTTTGCATTCGACGGTGACATTGAAGTGATGCGCAGAGATAGGCGATAAAATCCCGCGTTCCGGGTCGACGCGAAGACGGTTCAGAGAAAGATGTTCGTAGTTCTTGCCATCCGTCTCGTTGTCGCGCGTCATTCGTTTCGTCCATCGGAAATACATGCTTATTTCGCTGAGGAATTGATCACGTGGGATTCGTTTAGCGTTCGAACGTCGAGAGTCTATGTGGCGTCCCGATCGTCGATATTCATTCCGAAGCGAACGAACGTCGAGGATCCCGGAATTAGAGACGTTTGGAACAGGCGTTACCTAACGTTGCTCACGCAAACCGTGCATTGCCCAATTTCATCCGGAACACTCGCATTCACGTTTACGTAATAACGTGCATGTTTATCAGTGGCCACATTCGGCAGCCAGTCCTTTTCCAACTGCTGAAAGTTTAACGGTTGTTTCTGTCGGTAGCCACCTCGTAGTCGGAAGTCGAATTATGTAAAGCTTTCTATGGTATTACCATTGGAACTATACCAAACCAGTCAAAATGTCTAATTACGGCCTATTTTTACGGTTACCGAAATTATACAAATTCCAAACGTTTTCGATCCGTGCGTATGTCATAATTAACAATTAGATCAAATACTGAACTGATCAACATTGAAAGAATTTGAAGACACCGTCGCATCACATTCTGCTTGATAAAGTAATTAAACGAAGAAAGAAATGTACCTCGCAATTAATGCAGACAATATTTACGTTGCATAAAAATCAATGTCGCACGAAGTTCGAGCAAAGCCAATGTTGTCATTGTTCTAAAACAATGTATTAGGTTGGGGAATAAGTTCGTAGCGTTTTTATATTTTCTTTTATTTTACAACGACTTTTTTGCTGTTCGACAAAGTGTATAATATTCGTTCGATAGAGCTCTTTCTGCTCTACAAAACTGTGCTAATCGTCTTTTCGAGTAATTTAATTTTTTAATTACTTTCGAGACTTAGAAATGGAATATCCATAAGTTATATATTATTATTATTATATATTATTATTATTATTATTATTATTATATATTATTATATATATATAACCATAAAAAGCAACATTTTCGACACCTTCTCTTCTTCACTTTTCATCGAGGCCAAAAAGCTGCCGAAGCAGCCAGGGACATTTGCAACGTATACGGAGAAGGTGTCATAGGCGGAGTCTACAGCACGGAAATGGTTTGCGAAGTTCAATAATGACGATTTTGACGTCGACGACACGCCCCGGGGCCGAAGACCTTCCGAATTCGACGAAGAGCATCTCAAAGCACTTTTGAAGGACGATCACCGAACAAGCCGTGAATTGGCCGAAAAAATGAACTGCGATCATAAAACGATTCTCAATCGTCTTCATTCAATGGGACTTGCCGAAAAATTGGGAGCCTGGCTGCCTCACGAGCTTAACGAAAACAACAAAGAAAATCGCCTTCAAATAAAAACGCTACGAACTTATTCCCCAACACAATAATTAAATGAAGATTTATCTCGCAATTAATGCAGACAATATTTACGTTGCATAAAAATCAAAATCGCACGAAGTTTCAGCAAATCCAATATTGTCATTGTTTTAAAACAATGTACATATTAGTCGCGTTCAGAGCGTGGTAGTCCCTGCGTTGAACGTAAATATTCGAAGTACATATGGTACTCCGAGCAGATGCACGAGATATAATAATAATGCAACAAAAAGATCGCCGGTGATTCATCAATTCTGTCCCCCGTTTTGTACGTTCGTAATGTCGCATTGTGCGAAACTCTTTGAACGTAAAGAGTTCGTAGGGACTGAAACGCGACAATTAGATAGGCGGCCGTCTAAATGCCACTTTACGGCATTCAGAGTTCATTGATTCTGTACGACATTCCATTGGTCGCGGCCACGTTTTCGAATACCTATAGCGAAGATAATAACAGACGTTGTATACGCATGTATCTCGTGGCCGGAATTTTCAGTTAGGACACCGAGGAATAAGAATAACAAAAACACGTTCTTCGTAATCGGACACCGGCAGAGACTACGATTTAGAAAGTGTAGAACGTTCTCGCCTAACTGGCAACGTGTGTTTACGTTCCCGCAGCGATCGAGAGACAAACGCGACCCTATGTTTTTTCATACTCGAGTTCATATCCGCGTGCAGTTTCGGCAGATCCTTCGTCTCTGCGTTACAGTTTCGTTTATATTAGTGCAATAATCAAAAGTCGAGCGAGAACAATTGCAACGTAAATTAATGGAAAATAAAGTTGGCGAAAGCGAGGCAACGCGGAAGATTTTTCGGAATACAGCGAGATTTGGGAATACGTGGCACAAAATAAGGAACAGCTTCCGATAAATTCCAACAGGTGACCTACTTACTTTGCGAACGCGACGGGAACGCAACCTACGGCCATGTAAACAGAGCGCTATTTCGTAACGATGACGTAGATACATTACTAAGCTGGATGAAATTCGGCTCGTACGACAGACCATCCCCGATGATTTCCAGTGCTAGCATGGTGCAAGTATCGCTGAGTATGTACAGCTTGTCGACCTGGCAAAAGTAGATAGGACGAGAGGGTTCGGCCGATGTATAAAGACCGTTTTATCGTTTTACGTGAATCCCGCAACTGTCCGGCGTGAACTGCATGCGGAACGTTATCTCGTCCTGCGGCTTCAGCTTGAAGTACACGGGCCAGAACGAGAACGGCGGTATCTTCAGCACATTTTCCTCGGTGACATCCTTGAGGGGGGAAACATTGTGCGAACGGAGGAATTCGAATTATTATTATCGATAAAATTATTGATATGGTTAAGACGTCGCCGAGACGAATCGAAGGGCCGAACTGGCTGCACGTTGTATCAATTTGGAAATGCATTCAATTACCAAATTTCTATACAGGGTGTCCCAAAAATGTCTCGCAATTCGAAAGTGGCGGGTTCCTCAGGTCATTCGAAGCAACTTTTTCCTTTACAAAAATGTTCTCCGAGGCACCGTTAACGAGTTATTAACGAAAAACAGTGACCAATGAGAGGCGAGATCATTTGGCGCGAGGCGACCGAGCCAATGAGCGGAACTGGTTTCGGTTGCTCGGCCACCGCGCGCCAACCGCGCTTGCCTCTCATTGGTCAGTGTTTTTCGTTAATAACTCGTGACGGATGCCTCGGAGAAAATTTTTGTAAAGGAAAAAGTTACTTCGTATGACCTCAGGAATCCCTCATTTCCCGGAAGTAGCATAATTTTGGAACACCCTGTATACTATGTACATGATATAATCTTACTTCTATGTACATGGAACTCCAATCGATCTCGCTTATCACGAAGAATCGTCCTTCTCCCCCTATATTCTTGAATATCATCGGCACACTAACTTCCTCCCCCACAAAGCTTCTCTCGCAATCGAATAATTCGATTTTCGTTCTCTTGAAATCCACGTCGTTACTGTCGCTGGACGTGCTGGTATTTGTACATGTTGACTGTAAAGAACGGTATTTGTTAATAATAATAGAGCAAATTATCGTTGCTACTTTGAAACGGCACGTAGATGTACTTCCGGGTTGTTCGAGTAGGCCGACCCTAGTTCCGGATGAGAAGTGATCGAGCACCTTCGGATGCTTCTCACGTTGACGCCCTGCTCGCGTGGACGGTCTTGCACTGTGGAACAAAATCTTCTCGATGCTAGATGTTCATTGATAAATCGGGGATGCTGCTTATTCAATTATATAGAAATATTCTTTCTTTCTACTTTGATACCTCGATTTACAAAATGTTTTTCTATGACAAATGGGAAGGAAATGGAGGTTCCTGAGGTCAATTGAAGCAACTTTTTCCTTTGCGAAAATTTTCTCCGACGCTTCGTTTACGAGTTATTAACGAAAAACACTGACCAATAAGAGGCGAGCTCGGGTGGCGCGCGGCGGCCCAGTCAACGAGTGCACGGAGCCCAGTTCCGCTCATTGGCTCGGCCGTCACGCGTCAAATGATCTCGCCTCTGATTGGTCACTGTTTTTCGTTAATAACTCGTAAACGAAGCCGCGGATTGCATTTTCGCTAAGGAAAAAGTTGCTTCAAATAACCTCAGGAATCCCCTACTTTCGGATTGCGAGACATTTTTGGGACACCCTGTATATTAAATACTGCATTTTTCTATCTATCAGACGCCATTGCTGGGTTGTTTAACAAACATTAGACCGCGGATCTTTATGCAAATTGAAGGAAGGAAAATTCCCTTCGTCGAATGAAAATTACCCGTTATAAAAAGAAAATAAAAACACATGTCATAAATGCACGCAAGTTCGCAGCCTAATTATCAGCCTTTGCACGAGTCTACCTAACAGAACCGGAGGATCCTTAAACGCGTGGAGCCTGATGATCACTGGTTTTCCGTCTTGCACATTCACCACGAGAAGTTCTTCCGGTTCATCGGTAACGTTGCAGTAAAACGAAACGATGAATTTCATCTCCATACCAGGCGGAATGATAGAGCTGTTGTCCGTTATGGGCTTTACCACAACGTGGAAATAGGAGCGAAACGGCCAACTTTGTATTCTAAATTTCGCCGGTGACGTCGTAATGTTTTGTAATCTGATCGTTTTCTAAGACACACCGTGGCACGTTGGTTACGTAAAGTCGAATCGCATCACTATGTAACAATTTGTAGTCGAAAACGTACCTTGTAGAGCTTGTTCAGTTTGAAGTTACGAAACTGCACGTAATTCGAGTCCGCAACCAGTATTGCTTTCAGATTTTCCAGTCTCATTATACTTCTTTTCGACGAGGCGCCTCGATACGGCTGTGACTTCAACAATGGTCTGATTTTTATACAAATGGATAATTAGTTCGACGTGTTAGCGATCCAGTATTTTATTTTACATCGACTTGCATGCAATCGTAACTGTATCCACGGTTTATTGAATTATTAAGTTTAGTTATTTAAGACATTCGACATTACGAATTTGAAAAATATTTTCTACTAATTGGAATATATAATTATTATATATATATATATATATATAAAATTATATATTCCAATTATATTCCAATATTATTATATATATAATTGGAATATAATTTTTTTGGAATAGTGTTATATATATATAGTTTTGGATTAATACTTGTCGACGCGGACTCTCGGATAGCATGTCATTTCCGACAACAGAGATTGCAAATCCTTTTGTTGTTTATAAGTTACGTTGAATAATTGTAATTTCTTGTATTCTTCCCAAACTTTCAATTTCGGCGGCTCCAACATCGAATCACTGCGATCTACGAATAATAATATTCGCGTATTCCACTGTGTTTATACTATTTATTTATTTATTTTTAGTAATATCCGTACTTAATTGTGTTTCATATTCTTCACCGTCGTCATCGATCCGCCTAGTTTCTGCCTTAACGCCGCCCGCATAGTCTTTCAACAGTTTTATGTCACCTGGACATGCATTTTGTAATTGACGTCTGTAAGTCTATAAAATATGCAATTATTCCTTCGATGTTACATCGTTTTAAACTTCGTTTTGAATTAGGCACAATAAAGATATCGCATCGATACCGACACAGAATGTGAAAGAAGACTTTTTTTCGAATATTATATCTCGTCGACCAGCGTTGATCGTGGTATATGACATTTTCCAATTGTATAATTTAGGATTTTGCGACTCTTTTCGAACATTTTCAGTATCCATTTTCTGGAACCCGTCTCGAGGCCTTTATACAACTAATTCGTCAAGTGCAAGTAACGTTAGTTTTGACAAGCGTTCATTACAGATTGACAAAAGAATGCGTTATTATTTAATTCGCCAATCAAACGATGCGAGGAATTGCGTGTACAACAAAGGAAAAAAGCTTACGTCGCAAACATGTAAAAAAAAGATAGGATTCTTTAAATTTTATTTTCTAATCTTTCGATATGTTTAATATAATTACGTTTGAACAAATAAATTTTTAAAAAATCAGCAAATAAAATTTCAGGAATTCTAAACGTGTAGTCACACGTATGCATTTGAAATGTCATACGGTCGAAAAGCTGACAAGGAGACAATTTAAAAAAAAAAGGAACGTTTACATTAGTTTTAAGATTATGATTTATTTGGAAACAATTTTTTTTATATAAAGGTTTAGAGAATGAAGTTCTATGTACAAAAGGGTTACGTTAGTAAAATACTAGGATTTTATATTCCTGGCCGTACACCGTGCAAAATAGTTTCCTCTTACACTGAGAGACATGTATGTATAATGGATTTTTGTCACGTGCAATTTTTTCTCCTTTTTCCATTTATTGCGAGCTCTTACGGGCTCTCTATACTTAATCGCTTGAATCTAGTTTAACCCTATGTACGCTGACAAAACATGCTGCTCTCTTGTTCAACGTCGCGATCACATAAGGTACACTTATTACATTTACCATAATCCGCAATTCGTAAATACAAAGAACTCTTAATTCGTAACTGTTGTGTTGTTGCATTATTATGTTTTCGTGTTTTCTTTTTTTTATCATTCAATCTCTCTATGTATAATTCTTTTGTAACACGCATATAGACATCATATGTATGATTTTTTTCACGTATACAAGATTACAGATTACGCTTTGTACAGTCTAACGAAAGATCATTTGTTCTCTCAGGACATCGGATCGAAATTGGACGCTTCAATCTTGTTCTCTTTCAACTACGTGTTTTCATAACGATTTCCCATCGTTTACAGGTTCGACTAACGTATGGAAAAAAATAATAATAATAATAAAAAGAAATTAATACTATGTTCGCATGATTGATAAGAGCATACGGCGCAGAAGCATTAGTCTTACTTATTATATTTGCTTTCATTTTAAATCGGTGTATCTTTAAGCTGAAAAGGAATGGGCTCAATAACGAGACGCGTGTCATGTTCCATTAAACAACACTGTATTTTCGTCTCTCTTCTTTCTTTTCGTTTCTTAAAGCCTGCATAGATTTAGAAATGATGTGATCTTTGATAAGAGTGCACTTATTTAATCTATACGTAAGCATACATAGTCCATGAAAACGCAAAACAAGATTTTTTGCGCTCGCGAGGAAGATGATTTACAGTGTGAATTTCTAAAATTCATCCGTAGACATCATCTTTTGACCTGTTACAAAAATTTAATTTAGAATCGATCGTCCATTGAGAATATTCAACACAGAGTCAAACTAGGTTCAAGCTTCCCGTGAAACTTTTCTTCTCATTTTTTTTTTTTTAATTAATCAATTACATATTATATTTACATCTGATAGCTTTTTTTTTCAAACGCCAATTGATGTCGGTAACTACCATAGCTTGTCTGGCGAGTCCTCTATGTTGCGATGACGATAAGCTTGGACGTTGTATGCAGGGAATAAAGGTCTTTATTAAAAGCCTATTATTGTTTAGAAAATATAAAACCCCAGATTATACTTCACTATCCTACAAATACAATGCTTACTTCAAACTTGTGTATGTAATGGTGTCGGTTTGTAATGTGATATTATTCCATCCGCTTCAATCTTAGGCGAAAACCTGCGATCCCCCTCGTATATGTTTTTTTTCTTTTTTTTATAAATTAAACGATAAAAAGTAAAATTCCAGCGGGTTCATTTTACACTGAGACATGAATTTCTAAAAGAATCGTTCCATTCATCGTAATCTAATTCTAGATTTCTCCTGGTATCTTTTTTACACAATGCACCAGCTATGTTTTATAATTCACATTTTGCATTCGTTTATTCTTTTTCAGCTGGAAAATGTCAATATATGATTTTATCCATTGCAATTGTACGAAGTGAACGTTCTTACATATATACAACCCACGATCACCCTTAAGCGTACAACTTCCATGTAGATTGTTATAGTTCGATGCACGATCGCTTATTACAATCCATTTGTGTCAGTTACTTTCGTGAGTTCTCTTCACTTGCCCAGTCCTAGTGCTGCATACTGTTCCTCCGTCACTTCTGTCATCATCAGGTTGCCATCCGGTAAGAGTAAAACTACTCTTCTGGTACCTCCTGATTTTCGACACAGAAAAATATATTGGCATGAATTTTCCAATAAAAGAAGAAATTGCATTCCGTGCGCAAGGTACGTCGAACATTTAAATACATTATTTCTTTGCACAGAAAAGACTCTACAATGCACAATATTCCTTATTATACGGTTTTGTTTCATACTTCAAGAAAAGAAATACGTCAAAGAAAAATTCAGATGTTCTGTTCAGATTCTATATAATTTCATTATACATTACCTGGTGTTGGTTCTTCTGCTTGTACAACTTGAGCTACAACTTGTCCATGACCATCGCCATCTTCCTGGCCCTCGGCCACGTCAGTCGTATTCGAATTATCCATGATAGACATCACCATTGGATTTTCAGCGGGTTCCGACGCACCTTCCTTCACATAGAATTGAGATGCCAAGTTCACCTGATCGGGTATTAGCTGCGCGACAGCTTCGGCGACTGCATGATCCAATGTCAGCACCGAGCCACCGTCTCCTTGCTGTTCCGTGGTAACGTAGACGCATTGTTGTTCGCCGTCGGCTTCACGCGTGACCAATAATGTTTGACCGTCGTCAGCTTGTCCGGTCACTTGATAAACGACACCATCCTCGCCTGTTATCGTTACTAAATTCGACGTGTCCTCTGGAGTTACCTTCCTCTCCTCTGGTAGCTTCTCTTCGGGTTTGGTCACGTCAGCGGACGTGATGGCAATCGTGCTGGTAGAAGTGACCGTGGCTGTTGAGAGTGCAGCTGCGATAGAAGCCTCAGGAGTTGGTGTTGTTTCGGTTAATGGTGTAGACGTAGTTGTTGTCGGTACTGCCACAGCTGGAGCAGTGTCGTCCAAGCAGGGAAGATCCGGAGCAGGTACGGACACGTTCGACAAGTTGATTTGTGCAGGTTCGCTTGTCTGAACGATAGTGCCTGTTGTTCCACCGGGACTCATTTCGACTCTCATTATGCCACTGCCATCTGTAAGGGACTCGAGGGAAGGTAGGACCAACTCTGTAGTGGTGGTTGTAGCAGGGACACCGATGCTATCCGATGTAGTGGTGGTGGGTGTTTTGACAGTGGACAACGGTGTCGTAGGCACAGGCTCCGGTTCCGGCTCGGCTTGCTGTTCAACGGGCTCGCCATCTGGCCCAATGATACGTCCCGTTAATGGACAAAGAGTAAATGGTCGAGGTGGACTATCCGGTTCTGTGGTGGTTATGGTATCTGTCTCCGGCGGCGGTAGCTCTGGTTCACCCTCGCTGCTACTTTCTTCGGAGCCGACCTCGTGGAATTCCATGTGAAGACCATCGCCCTCGGCCAATTTACTCTCTTTCGGTTTGTTTCCTGGCGTTGTGGCTGATGGCGACTCCGGCAACTTTCCTCTACCTCGTCCAACGCTAACACGAGCCCCTGCCAGGAGACCTCGGCCACCTGATTTAATACCCGCTGCTTCTTGAGCTTTTCTTTTAGCCATTAATAACTTTTGTTGTGGAGATAATAATGACTGTGGCTTACCGATCGGTGTTTTCGGTGATTGTTTCACTTGTTGCACTGGACTAGTTCCAGACTTTACCACTTGCTTCGACTGTTGACTAAGCACCGTGAACTTCGGTCTAATCTGCGTTACGTTTCCAGGGCTCACCGAATTACTTTGCGTGGTCACGGTTGTCGTTCGTTTCTGTAGCACCTGGCGCGTTTGCTGCGATTGAATCTGTCTCGGGGCTGGTGCCCTGACAGGCGTGCGAATCGTGGATCCGATTCCGAGTACACTAGTCGGCGTCGTCGCGCGAAGCGGAGGTCTTGGTAACAGTGGTCGACCGTCTGCAGTGCGTTGGCCGGTAACAGGCCCGGGTCGCACTCCTGTACTTATTCTTGGCTGCAAAGCGATAGGAGTCGGCACTGCTGTCACGACATGTATCTGCGTCGGTAACTGTGTCGGATCCGGTTTCGGCTGGATCTTTATGGGTTCGGTTTTCTGTGTGCCTCCTGGTTTTGCTGCAACCGCCTTGGTAACTACTTTCATCTGAGTTACTACTTGATTTCCATCGATTTTGGACACCACTTTGACCGGCGTGACAGAATTCGATGGGGAGGCCGATATTACTTGCTTTCTTACCACATTAGTATTATCTCGATTTTGAACCATCAAGACACCTTGCGTAGTTGGCGAACCTTTCACAGCCAACTTTCCGCTAGGAGACGAGTCCAACTTGATGATGCCATCCTTCCGTGACATCACGTACACGCCAGACGTTAAGTTCGGCATTTGCTTAGGGTCTACTTTAACGACTCCCTTAGCATTAGCAACCAGAACGGGCGGTTGGGTTGATTTTGCTCCTTCCGGGGACTGCAATCCCAACGAAGTCGCAAGATCTGTCGATGAACTGCTCGGCCGGTTTGATCCATTCGATTGAGCATTGGCACGGTTAAACGCGCGTTGTATAACGTCACTACGGCCCAATAATCTGTCATCGTCAGATTCCCCAGTCCAATCGTCATCACTACCCGTATCACCTTTCGCTCGTTTCGCAGCACTGCTACCTCCGTCTTCCGAATCGCTATCGGAATAGTCCATTCTTCTCTTACCCAACACTAAAAGATCAACAAATCTTAGTTACTTATCCTATTCAATGTGCATTTACTAAAAAATACATAATGTTTTGTAGTCTATTTATTATCGAGAGGTACGTACAATCATTGTCTTCGTCTTTCATAGAACCACACCATTGTTTCACTTGATCCATTGCTTTTGATTTACTTGAACGCATTGGTCTCCTAAATATGTAATGTACTCAATTATTATTTAATTATTCCGAAATTTATGATATTTTTTGACGAGTGAGAGATAAAAAATCGTTGCCTTACCCTACTTGAGCTGCAGTACTTGGTCCAGGTTTAGCATCCGTTTTTATTACTGTTTTCTGAATAGGATGAGCAGCTCGCGCAGCTGCTTTTGCATTAGCTTGCTGTTGTGCTGCCTTTAACTCTTTCTGTTTTGCAAGATTTCTTTCAAATTCTTCTAATAAATGTTTACATGTTGCTACATGCTCCGCTGGCTCCCATGTATTGTGATCACTACAAATATTACACGTGTTTATTTACCCGAATGTATATGTAGCTTTTCGCAAAACTTACTGTCCATATCCTTCCCATTTTAGTAAATATTCCGAGCACCTCTTTTTCGGGTTGAATCGTTTAGCTAGGATCTTTTCTACCGTATATTCTTCATCGGTTGTGACATCTTCTTCACCAGCCTTAGTAGACTTGCCCTATATAAACGAATGAATTGCTTTTATAATGAATATGAAAAATGAGAATTAGCTGAGTGATTAAATGTAGTAAGCTAACTTTAGGTTTTATAGATGGTTTCAACTTCGGTTTTTCCTTCTTTTCTCCTTCAGCATCCAAGAATTCTTTTTGATTCTTTGCTTCTGGACCTTTAACATCCTTCTTATCCGCGTCTTCCGGTTGCCCATTTCTAATAACTTTGCGAACGACCACAGGTTTCCCTACAAAAGCACAAATTAAGTTCCAGCATTCTTTCTTTGTGAAAAATCGTTCGTTTTCTATAGTCTTAGATTCTAGTATATAATCAACCTTCTGCATTGGCTGTTTGATTTTGTCTTGGTACATCTTGCATTTTTGCATTACTAATTTTTGTGAAAGTTTGAATGGTCTTTCCAGCTGCAATCCAAGAATCCCGAATGTGCGTATCCATTTTGCACCATTTTTGATAGAGTTTCCATGAGTTTGTAGAATCTCTATCTGAACCTTCCTGCTGAATTTGTGAATCTTTCCATAGTAGAAAAGCCCAAACTTGTGCTTTCTGTTCATTCTACAAGAATTCATGATACAATTAAATGGCATTGTTGCATCTGTATTGTTTCTTCTACTAACATATACTAACTAACTACTACAACAGATTCTTGATACTAACATTACTATTTTCACGGAAGTGAGATACTTGAGTACAAGCGCCATCTTTTGTACGATGCTTTTGAAACTCTTCAATAAAGTGAAAAACTGAATGACACTGGCCACATACAAGAACATCTAGTCTTCCCATTTCTTCTTGCGCAGCTGATAACATAACAAAGTTATATTCAAAATAATAAATATAACTTGCATGAATTTCTTCCTGTATTTACATTCATTGACAAAGATCGGTACGTCAGGTTCCTCATTTTTATGTACCAATGATCTACCGACTTGCTAATTCTAGAATTCCCTATGAAACTGTACAAATGGATGTATTTATACAAGTTTCAAAATTTAACAATATATTCTTTAATAATTACTTTTTTATTGAGTCAAAGGTTGTTATTACTGCAAAAATTTCTGTGTCTTTTAAGACAGATACAGGATACATAAAAATATTTGTAAAAATACAAAAATAATTTATTGTAGCAATCTTGTGCATAAGAAAGTAGTAAATATTACCTTTAATAGCAGTAGGATTACTACTGATGGCTGAAGGGCCATCGCCTCCCTCCATTTTGTTCAGTACGATATTTGAATCTCTATCCACAATGTTCGTTCTAAAAATTAAATGTACTCTTTAATTCAATGTAAAGAAAGCTTGCATATATTACATAATGAACCAAATTAACATTGTGTCACCATGGCTTAATTATTTAATAATTAAACACATACAATGGCATAAAATTAAAATTCACTGCTTAATTTTCTACCAATTGTAGCATATTACAGGTTCTTATAACAAAGAAATTTCAGATTTTCATTGTGGGAACAATGTAATGGATTGTATTGTAATTCATGGGTGATACACAAAAATCAAACAAGAAGAAATAATTACAAATAACAAGTTCTATTGTTTAACTCTCCCTATAAAATACAAAACATCTATAAATCAATATTAATAACTTAAATAGTACATCAGTGAATCCGGTTAGTATTGTTTTCATGAAAGTTTTATGGATGGCTAAAATAAAAAAAAAAATTTGTTTATACCAATAGGCAGTATAATGACCCATTAATATTGTTATGCCGTAACACAAGCGAACAAAGTCAAAATTAGATAAATCGGAATTCAAAGTTTCGCGGGTCTCGGAAAAATTTACACGCAACATGCCGGTGGAAATCGAACTGCGAACATTTTTTAATAAGACACCACTGACGTTGTTACGGCGATACGGAGGTTCACTGCACTCACACACACCGTTACCAATGGTAATTTTACAAAGCGTTTGCGATCCTACAAGCTATGACGAACTTTACGCGTGGCTACTTTTTATTTAAACTAAACAAATTCCCGCATAAATGGTAAGACATCCGAGCACAGCATGGAGTCATTGTAAACGCGGCCAGTGGCGTAAGTTACCAACGAATAAAACTCACAGATAATTCGATCTTGAAATAGTAGCCGGCTCACCCGTGAAAGACCGTTACCGATACAACGTGACTATTCTAACTGTAGACAACACGGCCGTTTAGAATCGAAAGAAACATTTAGAAACGATGCCATTGCCGCCGTCGCCGTGGTCGCCGCCGCAGACTCGTCCTCCGTCTATCATGAGCAAGCCGATGCTCGTCAAGATGGCTCTCGTCACGAAAACTCTCCCCGACTATTCACTTCCTGTCCACCCATGAATATTTTTCGAACACACCTGTTCGATACTGATTTCAATGGAACCAACAATAAAACCAATGATATTCACTTACGTCTGGTATACCGTGGAAAAATCAGACTTTCTTGTTCTCGAAAATTGCCGTCGCCGCACGAGATGGGATGAAAACAGTGATCGCGTCTGACGACGGTGGCGCCGTGGCGCCTGCTCGCCGCGGGAACAGCTTACCTTTTGGCGGGAAAATATTACTCTACAATTCACCTTCCCTTCTTTTTTCCGACGACACATTTTCTAGAGAGTTCTTTTTTGCAGCCGAACTATTACACTTGATACGATTCATCTGAAAATACATTGAAAAGTTCGATTTAAAAAGCCGCGGAATCGCAAACGTTTCGTTATTGATTTCAAATCTGCCGCTTTAATCCATCGGGTTCTCTCATGTTCCGGCACTGTATTGAGTATAGAAAAGGCAAGTTTATGTTAATTAATGTCAAGACGATTTCGCAAATAGTCATTGGTTATTGCGCGCAGATTTATGAATGGTGTATGATTAATTGTTCTTTCTTTTAGCTGTATAATTGCAAGTTTTATACGCCCACGCTTCGCTTTTGTCGACAATGCGTTTCCCCTGATTTACGAGGAGAAATTTCAAATAATAGGTTCCTGTATTGACCGAGCGCACGCGGAAAAATACTGGTTCGGTGTGTGCATACATCAATATGAATTAATGTTAACTTTTCAAAGAATTTTTTTTAGTAAACACCACTTCACGATATCACCAATTTGAAAGTATGGGATCACCTTGTTGTTGTTTTCTCCAACGGTGATTTTAGCCCATTGTATTTTATGTTAATAGTAGTATAAACAACATTAACCTAGTTCATGTTGATTTAGTTTATCATAACCATTAAAGTGAGTATATTTTTAGATAGACTTGTGGAAATACGTTTGAATTATGGTTTTTCATTCAAGCAAATTATATATTCTTTTTATTGTAGGTTTATTTTAGAAATTGAAAAATGGCTGATGAAGAAGAAGAGAAAGAATATCGTTGGGAGACCGGTTATGAAAAGACATGGTATTTATTTGGTTATTGAAATGTTCTTTCTTTATATGTATTTTGTTGGCTTGTAAATAATGGAAATTGTTTTTTATTTAGGGAGGCAATCAAGGAAGATGATCATGGCCTTTTGGAAGCATCAGTTGCAGATATTATTCACAATGCTAAAAGAAAACGTCAGATGGATAAAAAGGTTGGTGCCAGGTTGGGGATGATGAGGCACCTTTACATAATTCTCGATGCTTCTGAATCAATGGGCAATCAGGATCTGAAACCAACTCGTTTCTTATGTTCTTTAAAGGTGTATATTTGATAATTGCTGGTTATTATTTTTGTTTACTGTATTATTTTATATTACTTATTATCATTATGCGGTTTAAGCTTCTAGAGGATTTTATTGATGAATTCTTTTATCAAAATCCTATAAGCCAACTAGGAGTAATTGTTACAAGAAATAAAAGAGCAGAAAAAGTCAGCGATTTGGGTGGAAACTCTAAAAAACATATTAAGGTAGATCTTTTTTTTTATTATTATCAACCTGTGATCTGTCGTGTTAAATACATCTTTTTGTTTATTTTTTAGGAATTACATGCTATGCAACAACTTCAACCAGCAGGCGAACCATCGTTACAGAATTCGCTGGAATTAGCTTTAAAATCCTTGCGACTTCTACCATCGCATGCTAGCAAAGAAATATTAGTAATTATAGGAGCTCTAACAACATGTGACCCTGGAGATATCAATGAAACGATACAAGTATGTGTTATTGTACATATAGTTCAGAAGCTGTTTTCGTTATTTTAATAATAATTTACTATAATTCTAGAGCATGAAAACAGATTGTGTAAGGTGTAGCGTGATAGGATTAGCTGCTGAGTTATTTATTTGTAAAAGAATGGCCACAGCAACCGGTGGAGAGCATGGTGTTTCATTGGATGATAAGCATTACAAAGAGCAGTTAAATATGCACATAGATCCACCACCAGCTGCAACCAGATTGGATGCTGCTCTTGTAAAGATGGGTTTCCCTCATCATGCTTTACAGTCTTCTGGAACTGAAACATCCATGGCAGTGTGCATGTGGTAAAATTTATAAACATATCAAAATTTTATTATACATTTGTTTAATTGTATAATAGAAACAACATATTTGCTTTACAGCCATGCAGTGAGCGCAGACGAAACTGTTAAACTTACAAGTACAGGATATCTGTGTCCACAGTGCCTTAGTAAACATTGCGAACTTCCTGTTGAATGTAGAGCCTGTGGACTCACCTTGGTATCTGCTCCTCATTTAGCTCGATCTTATCATTATTTATTCCCTGTTGAGTCATTTAGAGAAGTACCATTTGAAGGAACGCCCTCAATTTGTTACGGCTGCCAAAAAACTTTATCCCAAAAAGACAAAAAGGTATAGCGCACACTTTTTAGTAGATAAAGATATGTATATACACGTAACTCTATTTAAATTGAAATGTATGTTTACAGATATACATTTGTAACAAATGTAATCAAACGTTTTGTTTGGACTGTGAAATATTTATTCACGAGTCTTTACACACGTGTCCAGGCTGTGCAACAAATCCAGATACATATCAAAGGTCCACGGAAATAACTTAATGTACTGAATGTATGTAGGGTAATATTAATNTAATAATTTACTATAATTCTAGAGCATGAAAACAGATTGTGTAAGGTGTAGCGTGATAGGATTAGCTGCTGAGTTATTTATTTGTAAAAGAATGGCCACAGCAACCGGTGGAGAGCATGGTGTTTCATTGGATGATAAGCATTACAAAGAGCAGTTAAATATGCACATAGATCCACCACCAGCTGCAACCAGATTGGATGCTGCTCTTGTAAAGATGGGTTTCCCTCATCATGCTTTACAGTCTTCTGGAACTGAAACATCCATGGCAGTGTGCATGTGGTAAAATTTATAAACATATCAAAATTTTATTATACATTTGTTTAATTGTATAATAGAAACAACATATTTGCTTTACAGCCATGCAGTGAGCGCAGACGAAACTGTTAAACTTACAAGTACAGGATATCTGTGTCCACAGTGCCTTAGTAAACATTGCGAACTTCCTGTTGAATGTAGAGCCTGTGGACTCACCTTGGTATCTGCTCCTCATTTAGCTCGATCTTATCATTATTTATTCCCTGTTGAGTCATTTAGAGAAGTACCATTTGAAGGAACGCCCTCAATTTGTTACGGCTGCCAAAAAACTTTATCCCAAAAAGACAAAAAGGTATAGCGCACACTTTTTAGTAGATAAAGATATGTATATACACGTAACTCTATTTAAATTGAAATGTATGTTTACAGATATACATTTGTAACAAATGTAATCAAACGTTTTGTTTGGACTGTGAAATATTTATTCACGAGTCTTTACACACGTGTCCAGGCTGTGCAACAAATCCAGATACATATCAAAGGTCCACGGAAATAACTTAATGTACTGAATGTATGTAGGGTAATATTAATAATTTTAATTATTTTGTACTAAATATTTTAATAGTGAATACTGTGATCTAGAATCGGTTTTATATAGAAGAAATTCTTAGAACTGATTGATTCATGATACACGTATATGAAGATCTCCTTTTCCAAGAAAGGAATAGATAAATGAAAAGATAAATAAGTTACAAAAAGTAATTATAACGGTAGTTATTTATTTTCTCACAGAAACCATTTCCTCCAACACACGAGTTAATCGTGTTATTTGGAGATTAATCTTCTAATTCATATTTTAATATCTCCAATGAACTAAAATCAATTTCCATAAAGTTGACGTGATTATAATTGATGAATGAATTAATGATGAAATGATGAATGATTAATGAATTGTTAAGCGACGATTAATCTATTAAATGCCAGGGATCATTAATCATTATCTAACCTGATCGAACATTCGGGAAAATTATTGCAATCTGTAATATCCATGAATGAATAATTGTAATTATACGATCAATTATAATCAAGTTAAACTCAAGGAATTATCGTAGAAAGTGTGTGGTGCATACTTTTCAGTAGAATACATGTTAAACTGATATTTTATTATTTTCTCTGCATTAGGTAAAAACTATTGTAATATAGAGTTCTATATTACTTCCTTAAAACTCCCTATTTTTCTAATTAACTTTGCATGGATTGTACACTATAGTTAAACCTAATTCTTCAAGCATTACCATTACCGACAGCCGTGTCAAAAGATGATTATTGATGTGAAATAATCGCTTTATCATTTGCCGGAATCCTGGTTCGTCGTTGTATGAAAACAGAATTTGCTTTATGAATAATGTTTAATGTTTTATAATAAGGTCCCTAAAACCGCGTTTGCCGGTTCACGATGAACCAAGCCCGTCGAAGCGAAAGCAAAACAAAACATCAAGTAGCCGTTTGTGTACAACTGAATGATACAGAGATATTTCTTTCCCCCAGACAGAGAACCCGAAGTTTTTCAAGCGTTAACGCGGCCGCTTTAAAATCATGGTGGGAGGTGATTGAAGTTTATTAGCTAGCGGACAGGTGGAAGCGAGCATCGTTATATTAGAGCACATTATTAGTTTGCGATCGTACTCCAGTGCGACCGGTTCCACAGTGTCGACCTACTTCCGATTCAGTTACGTATGTCCATCCTGCCTGGACAAAGTGTCCTCGTATACGAGACGTTTCCCTCGCGCCTGGTTTTACTTCTAACACGCATCCCCGAAATTAGGTAAGATTTTTACCATGAAAAATTTAACATGTTTATATTCTCTCATTTATGTTTGTTCGAAACATTTGTCGCATTTGCTTCTAAGTGGACTGCGGATCCTCTTCCGAAAGAAGATCTTTGTGGCATGGGCTGTAAAAGTTAAAGCCAAGCAGGTGGTCGTTACTTCGGTAGATTAATTTTAACATGTTAAGTTCGAAGTAAGCTAAATATTGAATTTAACAGGGATACTTCAGACTGTGTTTCTTACAATTTCATAACATTTTTGTATATTTTCTACTTTTACTAAAACCGTCAACTATTTCTTCATTCTTGCTTTTTATCAATTTATTGGTCAGTTGCTATTTACTTTTTGCTTCGCTTATGTCATGTCCTTATCGTTTGATCTACCAAGCAGGCCCAAGTGACCTGCTTCACATTTTTCGTTTTTATTTTAAAATTCAATTTGTTTATTTATGCTTGTATCACGATGAACAAATTTTAACAAGTGTTTTCTTGTAGGTTTCATAATAACTTAAAAATGAGTCACCTTGTCCGCTCGTTACTGACAATATTAACGTTTCGATTTGCAAGTAAGAGTAACGTATTGTTTAGGAGTGTGACAAGTACAATACGCGTGTATGTACACGTGCACCGGTTATGTGTGTAACCGTGTATATTTCATACGCGCACGAGATATACTAGAAATAGTCAGTCAAGGGAAAATAGAAGGTTAATTTTGCAATATTTCTTCGCGGTATAGTCAACGAACTTGTATGTTGCCATGCACATGCAACAACATGCATATTTATCTTTATTTCATCGCAACGATAGCGAGCTCTTTTCATAGCAATAAATTTGTAAATTAAAATTCTGCGAATCATTTCAATTCTATAAACGTATAAAATTGCGCTAATAAAGACAATAAGCGAATATACGATTTGCATTATTTTTTTAATTAAGAGCATTTTCGCGAAACTACAGGAAGTTAATTAGAATAGATTCGACGAATGTTAATAAGTAAATCACTGTTAATAAATTCAACATTTACAAGTCATATATTTTTTCGTTTATTATCGTAATGTAATTGACATCGGCCCCAACGTTTCGTTTTTACCTCCTACACGTTTTTTTTTAATTTTCGATAACATCGAAAGATGAAAATAATCTAGATACCGTATCGCATGATTAATAATTGCTGGGATTCGTCGCTGATAGTACAGTATAAAAGCGTTGTCGGTGGCTATCACTACCTTGTGTAACGAAATGTGATCCATTGGGTTTCAAATTAATTCATTTGAATTTAGTTTTTATGATTACACTATTTTTGCTCGATTTACAAATTTTTCGAAGTACTCAACTTTTGATCACAAAAATATTCAAGTTCTAACATTTGATCTCTACTCAAATTTTGATTAAAAAATGTTCAAGTAGTCAAGCCCTGATTAAAAAAATGTTCCGAGTACTTAAATCTTGATATTCAAATTTCATTCATAAATTTTAATTTTCTTAATTTTCGTACGCTTCTAGTAACTGAATAAGGAACGAAAGATAATAGAAAGTAATTACGGCTATAGAAGAGTATGTAAGTAAAACAATAAAGATCCTCAATCCTTAAAATCTATTTTGTCTTTATTTTAAATTTCGAAATTGTGTCGACAGTAAAAACATTACCGTTAAGTAAATCTAACATTTCAGTAACAACAAACTTGCATAAGGATAAACGAACCAATTTACTTAGTAACATTATCGTGTTTATTAAGTAACATTACCGTAATCGGTTCACCTTAGTCTACATTTAAAAGAACGCGTTATTTAACTGCTACCTGTTGGTATGAGTTTCATACGAATGGAATGTACCTGTTGTAATCAATATACAAACCATCAGAGGCAACTTTCATTTCATTCACTTGAGACGGTTTGCAACACATTTTGAATAATGGTGAGGCCTAGTGAATCCTTTATCTCGCCTCTCCAACATGATAATGCTGATATGATAAAAGACGTGCGAAACCTCCCTGTTCGCGCCGGTATTAATCGTTCGATTACGCTTATTATACAACTGATTAATTGGACGTTATCGTATAACGGCGTTTATCAAGAACAGACATGTTGTTCCAAATAAATGATGGATTGTTTAAAATTGAATTTTTTTATCGTTTTTAGATTTTCGATTTCTTTTTTGTCCATCAAATTGGAACAATTCGAATAGATAGAATTTTTTTTTATTGAAAATTAGTAGTATTTTAAGTTTACATACTTTTTGACGGCACTGTATAACTAACAATGACAAAGTCGGTGTTTAACGGCGTTTATCAAGAACGGACATGTTGTTCCAAATAAATGTTGGATTGTTAAATATTGAATTTATCGTTTTTCGATTTCTTTTTTGTCCATCAAATTGGAACAATTCGAATAGATACAATATTTTTTTATTGAAAATTAGTAGTATTTTAAGTTTACATACTTTTTGACGGCACTGTATAACTAACAATGACAAAGCAGGTGTTTAACGGCGTTTATCAAGAACGGACATGTTGTTCCAAATAAATGTTGGATTGTTAAATATTGAATTTATCGTTTTTCGATTTCTTTTTTGTCCATCAAATTGGAACAATTCGAATAGATACAATATTTTTTTATTGAAAATTAGTAGTATTTTAAGTTTACGTACTTTTTGACGGCGCTGTATAACTAACAATGACAAAGTCAACTGGCAAGAAATTATAATTTCCGGTTCGTGTCAATTTCAAAATGAAATCTGAGGAACTTTAGATTGACGGATTCCGCAAATGTAATGCGAACATCGTTTAGCCAGATGCAATTGGATAATGAGGGATAATGTGTCGTTGTCTCGAAGAGAGAAGAAAAAAAAATATAAGATGTCCGCTGGAACGTTATATAATGATTCGCGTGTACATACAGTTGACCACGTGCCGTCGAGTTCTCTTTTTTCGTTTCAACCGCGTGTCGCACGGTAACCAAAAGAATTCCTTTCTCTCTCATTATTGCTTTCAGGCCGCGTAGCAATAAACTGGTTGCGCGCGTAACATTCGATGCCCCGACAAGGATAAATATCTCGAAAAGGTCTTGTCTTCGCTTGTCAGAGAATTAGTCTTGCAGGATTTCGTCATTTTTCCGCAATCATGCGCATTCTTCAGAAAATGGCCATCTTTTTTTTTTTTCCTTTCCGCATCTGTTCATCAGTTAATAATCAGCTGGAACTCTGGCAATTCCGTGTACACGGTCGTTCTTCCAACAAATTCATGTTCCATTAGTTAAGCATTGTATGTTCCGCGCGATACGGTCTCTCGCAATTTGCAATAATTTCGAAAGTAGAAGTGTTAATGGATAACGGCTTTTAGCATGGAACTAGATGTGTGTTTGAATTGCTAATTTTCTCGTTCGCTAATATATTATAAATTAGACGGAACAAGTGATTTAGGATAGGAAATTTTCTTCCAGGACTGAGAAGAAAATTTTGATTTTCTTTTTATTACGATTGTAATCATGCTTCCGAACTATTAGTCAAATTTTTTCAGATTACATTTATTGAATATTATTATTATTATATATTATTGATTATTATTATAATTATATATTATTGAATATTATTATTATTATTATTATATATTATTGATTATTATTATTATTATATATAAATAGAAATAATTATATATATATTATTTATTGAAACTAGAGTTTCCATCAATTTACAGAATATCTGTGCTCCAGTTAATTTCACATACAAAATTCCAATCAAGCTGCAATCAATCAAAAATAATTATTTAAAAAAAAATCATACTATATTCATGTCATATGAGAACGAAAAAAATTTCAAAAGAAATTAATTACTGTATCGTGACTCTTCACTCTGTTACTATCGATTAGTGTACAGAAAATCGATTTCATCAAAATCGGCAAGCCGAATTTTGTCATTGAACTATTTTTATTATTTGTT